TGGGACCCCTAGCCCCGCTGCCCTTGTAAGGGCCGGGACTCTGTGGGCCAGTGGTGAGACCCTGGGAATCCCCAGCCCGACGTCCTTGTACGGGCCGGATCCGAGTGAGCCAGTGGTCGGGACCCGCACCTTGGCTGGGTCGGGTCAATTATCTTCAGAATCAAAAAGTTGTATTCCTATCTGTTCAGACAGATATTCACCTTGCTGACAGACAATCGTCCTCTGACTTCCATCTTTGGTCCATACTCGGGAATACCAACTCTAGCAGCGAGCAGACTGCAGCATTGGGCACTCCTCCTGAGTGCCCACAACTATGACATCAAGTTTTGAAGGTCGGAAGAACACACCAACGCTGATGGCTTGTCACACCTTCCTCTGCCAGACTGCCCTAAAAGTAGCGAACGTAAGGTTTTCTACTTCGATATAGTAGAGAACACACCTGTGACTGCTCAACAAATTAAAAGAAAACAAAAGGAGATCCAACACTGTCCAGAGTGTTCGACCGAGTGATTAGAAGTGACTTGCCACGTGTCTCTGATGCACCGCCTGATCTACGGCCTTATCTTTCTTGGGGAAAAGAGTTGACGGTAACGGTGGGATGCCTACTGTGGGGTATGCGTGTCATCATACCACCAAAACTGAGGAAACCTGTCCTGGATGAGCTGCATTCTGGACATTGTGGCATCGTCCGGATGAAAGAGTTAGTGCGTAGTTATTTCTGGTGGCCGGGGCTAGACCAGGATATTGAAGCTACAGCCAGATCCTGCATTTCATGTCAAGTCAACCAAAACACGCCAAGCTTGGCCCCATTGCATCCCTGGGATGGGCCAGCGAGCCCGTGGCAGCGTGTTCAGGACCAGTGGAAGGAACGATGTTGCTGGCTGCTGTTGATGTTTGGACGTTTAGGACTGCCTGAGCAGATTGTCATGGACAATGGGCAATCTTTTCCATCTAAAGAAATGCAGAAATTCCTACAGAACAATGGAATCAAGCACATCCATCTACTAATGGACTGGCAGAGAGAATGGTTCAGACAATCAAACATGCTTTAAAAGCATCCAGAAGGGAGGTACCACTGAAGCAGCGACTCGACACTTTCCTGCTCAAGTATCGCAATACGCCGCATGCGATAACCGGAATGTCCCCTGCTTATCTACTCATGAAAAGACAGCTCCGGACTCGCCTTGATCTATTGAGACCAACACCCACCAGAACGTTGGTCCAAGACAAGCAGCAAGATCAAGTCAATGTACGAGCAAGGCGGTCTAAGGAGAGACAGTTCTCTGTCAGAGATCCTGTCTATGCCCGGAACTACACCACTAAGGAAAAGTGGGTTCCTGCAACGGTTCTTCAAAAGACTGGACCTGTCTCATATAGAGCCAGCACCCAAGACAACCAGACCTGAAGGAGACATGTCGACCAGTTATTTCCTCGTGAACCTGCGGCTACAACCTCTGAAGTAAATACTCCAGCGTTTACCTTCACAAGTGAGCTGACACCATATGGGAACGTCTCAGCACCTACGCCAGTCCCATCTACACCACTGCCAACGGAGACCACTCCTTCGAGTACACCCGAGGCTCAGCCGCAGCCTACATCTACACCTGAGCCTGTTCCGGTGTTGCGGCGCAATCCACCCAGAGAAAGAAAGCTTCCCAGTACGTCATAGTTAGTGCTAACCCTGGAAGCGAGGGGCAGAATAATCCCCTTTGGGTTTAGTGGAATGTTGAGGCAGTCTACCCTCTTTTCCAAGTTAGAGAATGTTATTGTTTGGGTTAATGTGGACATTACCATTAAGGGGGAAGATATGTTATGTTTCGTGTTGGGTGTAATTGTCTGTGGTCCCTAACATTATGTGAAGCTTCGCGTGGAGCTATAAAGGACCACGGCCCCTTGGGTCTGGGGAGCACGTCCCGGGTCGTGGAATAAAGGATTGGTCGATGCTGAAGCTTCTCTGCCTCTGATCTTCATAACAAGTGTGTCCGGGGTCTGCTCTGGCGGGTCATGACACCTACACCTTCACCCCTTCACTCATCTTCATCATCACTGTCGAGGACGGGGAAGCCACTTGCTGCGACGAACCAACCTCAACAAGTCTTGGTTCTTTCGGTAAAGTCACGTAGAAGGGAAGTAATAAAATAATAAAAATAAAACATAATAAAACAATTCTCACGACGTTTCGGCCACAACGCAAGCAGCCGTCCTCAGGCGAAGAATGAAGCAAGAATGAATGGCTTCATTCTTAGCCTGAGGACGGCTGCTTGCGTTGTGGCAGAAACGTCGTGAGAATTGTTTTATTATGTTTTATTTTTATTATTGTATTACTTCCCTTCTACGTGACTTTACCGAAAGAACCAAGAAGATGAATCCCTGCAGTCACGAAAGCTTTAAATCGAAACCTCAACAAGGTTGCCTGTGACCAAGGAGGTGCGGCAGCATCCGACCGAGCCACGGCTATACGGCCCAGTTACCCGGCCACGCGCCAAGGCGATGTTCCCACGGTGATGAACAACCACCACATGCAAAACCACGGAACCGCAGAGTCAAATTACATTGTCGTTTCTTCACGCCGGAGGTTGTCGTCGGTTGTTCGCTTGTTACGGTTGGAAGGTCCGGTTGAACCTTGTGTGTCCCGTATCATCTTACGGGTTACCCGTTTATTACTGTCTTAAAATCTGTTCTGTACACATGCACTCCACACCTATACACACAAAGGGACAGGACTTGGGTTGAGTTCAAAATTGCTTATTAATTGACCAACAAGTTAATATTTTCTCCCTTCCTTCCTACATACTCCCCTGCCGTCAGAATTAACCTTAATCCCTTGGATTCTCACGGGTTGTGTTGAGTCGAGGACGACTTTTTCTTCAGAGGGGGGGGGGGGGGGGGTGATGTGCTAATACTAACGCGATTCGGGATCCCAGGTCATTGTTAAAATGACGCCACAAAGGAAAGGAAAGAGAAGGCGGGGCGAGAGAGAGAGGAAATGCCCAGGGAGATAGGGGGGACGTCACCAGATTGGTGCAATGCAACACAGAGAGTCGGTTAACACACAGTTAACGCATAGCCTGGTTGATTATGTTCTTCCAAAGATTACTAAATAAGTTAAGTGTGAAATATGACAAACAGAGACACACAGAGAGCGAGAAAACAAACTTAAATCCTCTCTATTTAAGGCCTCAACACAGAGGCGCTGTGTCTCTGTGCATCTATGTGCGTGTCTCTCTCTGTGTGTCTCTGTGTTGTCTCTCTCTGCTTGTGTGTCTGTGTGTCTCCGTGTCTGTGTTTTGTCTCTCTCTCAAATTTAACAATCTTTGGAAGAACGTAATCAACCAGGTAGGGTGTTGACTTGTGTTAGCAGACTCTGCATTGTATTTCTAAGTTTTCTAGGTTTGTTTTCTACCTGATGATGATTGCTTGTGTTGCAATCGAAACTTCGTATTCTATTATTTAATTTAATTGGTTTCTACCTGACTTTACCGAAAGAACCAAAGAGTACTCACAATTAAGTTATTGTGCCGTCTGGCTTTCATGTGCGTGTCACTTGCCAAAACATCCTTGTGGTGTTCAGTAACAAACATCAGCAGTAGCGGCTACTAGATTTCACGCTGTGGGTATTTTTTGGAAATATATTTTTCATTTGTTAATGGGTTTTTTTCATTCATGGGTAATTGTTGGAGTTAAAAATTAACATGTACTTATTTTCTTGCTGTGGATTTCACACCTGATGATGATTGCTTGTGTTGCAGTCGAAACGTCATGATAATTTGTATTGTTTTATATTATTTTATTATTACCCTTCTCCATGACTTTACCGAAAGAACCAAGAATATGAATCCCTGCTGTCACGAAAGCTTTAAATAAAAAAAAAATGTTTGTACTTGTTTTTATCTTGTTGATTCAGGGCCCCCCTTGTGGCTAACTGGGCCTCCTATGTGTCGCATAACGCTGCCACATCACCCCCCTCCCTTCCCTATAGTTGCGTACCCTCGGTTGAGAACCACACTGAGACTGTTTTGAGGAACTTTGCTCGGCCTCCATCAATCATTAGCCCTGGGTAGGGTAGGTGGGGGGAGAAGTTAGTGGGGCTGGCTTCAGCCATTGGAGAAAGCTTCCTGGCAAAGCAACCCCACTACCGCTGCAGCCCGAGGACATTCCTGCGCTGGTTTTTTTTTTGCTCTCAGAGAAACTTTTAGGGAGGCAAGAGACGGCAGCTTCCTCCTCGTTCCTGTCCCAGCAGCAGCAGCAACAACAACTTCAACAACGTCATCATCACTATCATCAACCAGAAAAGGTTTGCGTTTAGCAGTTAATGTGTGTGTAATCAAGTGGTCTGGTGGTCTTGGGTTTCATGACGTGATTGCTTAGCCAGGAAGATCTCAAGACTATTTAATCTAACTTATTTATTGAGCTATTTTTATTTTACGAGGTAAGACCCACTGAGTTTTGTAGCTCTTTTTCACAAGCGACCTGGCTATCACAAATGATACATATTTGCTCGTCTTAAGCACGTGACTTGTGTGGTACTCTGCAAGCGCCGCAACCCCCCCCCCCCCCCGGCCAACACACCGAGTACATCCACGCAGCGCACTGGCGTGGGATTGCTTGGCACAAAGGGTTTTAATCGGAAGGGTCCCTAAGAGGAAAGTCCCACAGTTTCCAGGTGCCAGGGGATTGAACGACCCTCGCAAGACAATTTACATCGCGGTGCCCCTGAGTTGGCTTAATATTGTTTGGGGCACAAAAAGGTTACCGGGCCAGCCGCAATGAGTCATTCACGACAATCGGGAGAGGCTTGGGTGGAAAAAGTGAGAAAGGCAGACGATGAGGTCAAGGGAGTGCAGCGCCACGACCCCCCCCCCCTTCCCGACCCCCATACCAAATACACACCCGGATGCGATATATTGTTAATCCAGATTAACAATAGATCGCAGAAGCACCGGCTACCGCGATCCATGTAAGGGCAAAAAAACTAACGGAAAAAGCCGAGCTGTAACCACAGGTAGGCGCACGATTGGCCGCGCGGTACAACGCGACTCCGGGCTTTTGAAGTCTGGGGGATAAAAAGGGGAGCCCGAGGGCCACACGAGAAGTTCAACATCTTGGCCGTCAAGACCCCCCAGCCCGTCCTGCCTTCTCCAGCCGCTCACAGCGTCCGTGTGACGCCAGTGAGGGCCGCTACTAGGCAGTGTGAGGCAAGGCTTTATCGTCCTCTTCCCTCCGCCTCTCACAGCATCTGTGTGACGCCGTGAGTACAGCTACTGGGTACGTGATAGGGCACTTGAGTGAGCAGGAGCATAGATGGTAGGAGGTTAGACTTTTCCCTCGAGATATTCCACCCCGGATAGTGCCGACTGGGCAGCATAATTGAAGGGATTGTGGTTTGCGCCCAGAAAAAAAGTTAGCACAGAGCATAGGTGGTATGGTGTCTGCGATTTCTGTGTGGAGCGACTGCGTGTGCAAGCCGAGTCCTGGGTAGCGGTGGGGGAACATGTGGCGAGAGTGAACGTGCGGTGGTTATCACGGGATAGCTACCATGTTTGCGCGAGTGGGGTAATCGTGCAGGTGTGAGCGCGCTCGCAGCCCCTTTTGTTAGCGGGGCGCGTTAGGAGTTAATCACGTGCAGGTGGAAGTGTGCGGTCCGCGCCACATTGTTAATCGGTCGCCGGTGATAGCGGGGTTCGCGGCCCCTCTGTTAGCGACAGCTGCGGTATGCACCCGTGTGTGTTTTAACCCCGTGCGGCTCTGAGGCCAGCAGCACGAGCATGTCCCTCGGAGAGGGCGCTAGCATGGGGGGCCCCGTTTCTCGGTCGGCGGGGGCCCGGCGCGAGCCTACAGACATGGCAGAGGGAGCGGAACGGGCGGACGTCACGCCCCACCTGCCCAGCGAGGCACACTTGTTATAAACATTTCCAATAATAACACTACATGTGTAGAGGAGTAGAAGAGGGTAGTGGCGTCATGTGCATTGTCCGGTGCGATGGCGTCACGGGACGTGGGGTCATGCGCTCTGGACGGCGCACATGACGACACAGCTCCTCGAGTATAAAGGGGGGACCTCGTGACGTAAGCTAGAGAGTAGGGTCGAAGTAGGGTGGAACGGGGGGAGCCAGGAGCTAAGGGGAGGAATAGGGGATAGCACAGCATCAGGGCTGGACGTGGCTGTGCTCCTCGGTCGGCCGTGTTGGCTGATCCCACGGCCGGCGCAGAGGAGACGGCACAGGGGCAGCCGGCTGTGTCGGGACCCAGTGGGACCGAGCCCGGGACCCCTAACCCCTGGGAAGTAGTTCACCCCCCGTGTGTGGTGTAGCCCTTAAAAACTTACGGCAAAAGCCCTTAACCTTACCTCCGTCTCTGAGTGAGTTGTCGCCAACTCTTCTACACATGTGTAGTGCCTGAGATACGCGCCACACGCTGAAGTCGGTGTAGGCGCGCATGGCGTACAGTGGGAGCAAACGAGATCGAGGTGTTGTTGTTGCTAGGCGTGAGGAGAGGGCAAGAGACGGGTAGGGAGCAAATAAGGACACAGGGTGCTGATTGGCTGGGAGTTGTTGTCGAGATGTGGGGCCACACTGTCTGAGGACGGTAGCAGGTGGCAGGAAGCAATTAAGGACGGAGGGTGCTGATTGGCCAAGAAGTTGTTGTTGTCGCTAAGTGGCGCCGCATTGTCTGGGAAAACACGGCGGGTGCCAGTGGGGGCTAGGGGGCGACGGGCGTCGCGGGGGATGCCACCGATTGATTGGATTAATTGGCTGGGGGATAAAGAGAAGGGGTTTCGAAGCGGACGGGAGTTCGCGGCTGGGAGTGAAGAAGGATGTTAGAGCCGAAGCAGCGGAGCCGGAGGGAGTAGAGAAGTGTACGGTAGCAATAGAGAAGTGTACGGTAGCAATAGAGAAGTGTACGGTAGCAGTAGAGAAGTGTACGGTAGCAGTAGAGAAGTGTACGGTAGCAGTGGAGAAGCAAACGGTAGAAATGGAGAAGCATAAGGTAGAAATGGAGAAGCCAGCAGACGCGGCTGGAGTGTGATGGCAAAGCCAGCAGAGAGCGGCTGGAGAGTAGCGGAGAAGCGGATAAAGATACGGCTGAGTGTGACGGGAGAGCCGATAAGGAAAGGCTGAGTGTGACGGAGAGAGTGGAGAGGAGAGTCGACGGAGGAGTGATGGGGAGCGAGCGAGGCCGGTGGAACGCGGCGAGCGAGCGGAGAACGCGCAGAAGAAACGTTGATCGGTGTTAGCTGGAGGAATGTTGATTGTTATTGGTGAAATAAAGAAAGAGGAAAAGCAAGAAGCTGTCGTGTCAAGTAGAGCACTACACATGTATAACTATTTTTAGATTATACATTTTGGGCTTAAGGGAAAATCCATGAGTTATTAATTTACGTCAAAATCTCGGGTGCACGGTTTATCCGTAAATTGGATATACCGCACGCGGATAATCGGGAGTTCGCCATATATACACACTCATTGCTTGTTGTTAAGAGCTGCAAAAGTACCGTCGACACTTGAAATCGGTGCGAGTGTGGTACACTGAGGTCATGAGGGTATCTAGGAAACCAGAGGGGGGGGGGGTCAGTGAAGGCCTGGTTCACCAGTATTGAACTTAAACTTCTTCCACACCGTGTGTAGCTAACACGTATCTAATCAGAGATGAAATTGAACTGAGCCGACTTGTGACACCACACCTGAACGAGTCTCTCACGAGGAGTGTGAAGCCCCATACGTTAAGATTTGGTGGGTTATTTGCCCTTTTTTCCACGGGGATCACGCCTCCCAAAGCCGCACTGAAACTGTATTCCCGTTTCCCATTACGATCGTCGTCCTCGTCGCTCAACCCCTGTGATTCGGGTCGCGACACATCTCCCCATGCTTCTTTACAATCTTTTCTGTTCCTTTCTTTTCTCCACGATTGCCGTGACGATGTTTCTGAAGCAGAATGGCGGCTCGGGAGGTGACCAGGCGGCAGGGAAAGGAATATGCCACCCACTTCAGCCCGCGCGAGTACATGCGCGCGTACTTCAGCACAGCCCAGGGTGACGCGGGGGAGGGCGAGCTCCTGCCCCAGCTCCTCCAGTTCCTGCACTCGGCCTTCGCCACAGGTTCTCGGAGTCACAAGAATGACGGTCACAACAGCAACGACGACAACAACAAAACAACATCCGCCATTAGCTGTTAAAATGACGGTCATGTCACCACAGTGCTTGTGCCATCCTAGGTGTGCTTTTGAGGATTATCGCGTGAAGCGCGGAAGGCTCGCTGCTGGCAGGAGGTCACGGTACAGTCCCAGGTGGTCTGGGTTGACTGACTGAGACGACTGGCGGATGCACCACCTGTGCTCCCCACCGTGCCAACCCACTGCGTGTTAGCCGTCCGGCGCTCTCCGCTCATTGTTGGGGAACCGCTGTGGCGAGGCGTTAAATCCCTTGCGTAGTATGCAGGAGAGGTCGTGGGCTCCATCCTGATGCATGTTGTATATTTGGAGTTTGCGTGGATTTTTCCCTCCTCAATTAGAATCAATGTGCGTTTAGAGTATTTGACTGCAGAAATTTCCACGTGATAATAAGCCACTTTGTTGAGCTATCATTTGTGGCCAGGTCGCATCTGAAAAAGAGCTACACAGCTCAGTGGGCCTTTACCTGGTGAAATAAAACAGATGTGTAGTTTAGTTTCACGTGAAATTGTCAGGTGGAGTGAGGCATCTTGTGTCATATAGTTTTTAGACACGAGAGGATACACGTGATGCAATAGCGACCCAGGGATCGGACTAGAAGCCACACGTACACTTTAGGCCACGCCCCGAAAGCAGTTTTGGAAAAATACATGTTCACGGGGCCCAAGGTAGGTGCTGAACAGCTGAATATGGAGGGGGCTGAGCAGTGTGTTGGCTACGTATGGTGCGAAAGAAGTTAAACATACATACACTACGCTACTATACACACTGCACTATACACTACACTATACACTACATTTCCATACACTACACTACTATACAGTACACCACTATACTAAATTGATAACTAATTTCTTTAGAACTGCATTTTATGTTTAGTTTGTTGTCCTTCCCCCGCACCTCCAATTAGCACAGTTAACTACGTATGGTGCAAAAGAAGTTCACCGTACACACACACGTACAAACACTCCATGCTTCACTCTGAACGCTTCTTTTATTCTCCTCTCACCGCTTCCAGGCGAGGTGTCAGGCCAGCGTCTCCTGGACGTCGGTTCGGGTCCTACCATCTACCAGGTGCTGAGCGCCTGCGAGAGCTTCCCCGAGATCTACCTCTCCGAGTACGCGCAGAACAACCGGGAAGAGCTCCAAGGCTGGCTCAACCGCTCCCCCGATGCCTTCGACTGGACGAGCGTCGTCCAGTTCGTGTGCCGCCTCGAGGGAAGGAGGCAAGTGCCTCTCTCTCCACCGCGTTCGCGTTGTAGAACCCCCCGAGTACAGGTCAGCCGAGTAGAGCCGTGAGACTCTAGGATGGTGAAGCAGCCGAAAGACGGGGGGCTGCCATGGTGGCTAAGAGGTGTTACCTTGCCTCACCCGGTATACAGAATGTCATGGATTCGATTCAGACCCTGATGCCTGCTGTATATTTGGAGTTTACGTCTCTTTCTCTCTCCATGGTTGCGTGGAATTTTCTCCGGTGTCTTCGGTTTTTTCCTCCGACTTTAGAAACAATGTGCGTTCAGAATATTTGGCTGCTATACATTTTCACTTGATAAGCCACTTCGTTGAGCCATCATTTGTGGCCAGGCCGCTTCTTAACAAAAAGTGACATAGCTCAGGTGTGCTTCTGCAGCCGTCTGGAACGCCCTTCCAATATTAGGAAGACATTGGAGCTGTGCACTCTAAATGTAAATTGGAAACTCATTTCTTTCTAACTGCTTTGTGCTTTTTGTGTCTAGTTTGTTTTCCTTCCTGCGCACCGCCGATCAGCACGTTTGGCTACGTACAGCGCAAAAGAAGTTCAACATACATACAAACCTGGTAAATAAAATTAAATAGTTTAGTTTTTAGTTTAGTTGTTGGGACACTGTCGTCGGGGGCAGAGAGGAGGCAGGCTGGCCCTGCATCGGGCTCTTGTTTGTGTGCGTAACACCGTGGCGTGTGTGCGTGTGTGCGTATGTGAGTAGCGGATGTGAGGAGGAGAAGACGGAGCGTCTACGCAGGGCGGTTCAGGCCGTGCTGCCCTGCGACGTCAACCAGGATGACCTGTTACTCGGGTGAGGCCCCTTCTTGACTAAGCTCAGCTATAATCTACTTTTTTGTTACTTTGCCAGGTAAGGCCCACACTGAGCTGCGTAGCTCTTTTTCAGAAGTGACCTGGCCACAAATGATAGCTCAACGAAGTGGCTTATCAGATGCAAATGTATGGCAACCAAATACTCTAAACACGTGATGTTGATTCTAAATGTTTAGGGAAGAACCGGAGGACCCGGAGAAAAATCCATGCGATCATAGGGAGAGAGATAGAGAGAGAGAGACACGCAAATTCCAAATATACAGCAGGCGTCAGGATTGGGATTGAACCCACGACCTCCTGTATACCAGGTGAGGTAGTTACCATCTCCTGGCCACCATGGCGAGAGATGTTAACAGAATCAGAGGCGGCGGATAGGGGGCGCAACAATGGTAACACTCGTACCTACCAGCAAGAAGAGCCAAGTCCAATATTAATTGCTCACAGCTCTTAGAAAAGTCTTCATTCCCCGTTGGTTTGGAGAAAGCGAAAAACTCTTCCGGAAATGTTATTCCGATCACAAGCAGAAAACTGCAAATGTCTTCCTCGAGTCACTGGACTTGGCATGAAGACAAAGGTGGTGTGAAACGGTGGAGGCGCTTAACTTTACAAAAGCGACCCATAAAGCCTGGAGCCTCCGAAGGATGCTGGGAACAGCAGCCCACGCCAAAATACAAACCTCCACAAGTCAGTCCTGACAACATTGCCGGACAGATAATCGGCATCTCACGAGCACCTATCAATAAAAAACACAGGACGGCAAGTTTAGAAAGAACTCTACCATACTATTGACTGCTGCCAAACAAACCTCCGCTTTCTCCGGTCCTTTCTCAATGGAGGAAGTAGATGTTGATATTGCCCAGATGAAGACCGGTAAAGCATCAGGCCTCGATGGTATTTACCCAGAATTCATCAAGAACTTGGTGCCACGAGCAAGACAATGGCTCGCCTTGTTCCTTACTGATATTCACTCCTCAGGCGTGGGACCATAGGAGTGTAAAGTGGCTAAGATCATAGCCATTCTTAAACCCGGAAAAGACACATTGGAGACCAAAAACTACCGCCCTATCTTCTTCCCTCAGCATTTGCTACAAGTTAATGGAGTGGCTCCTGCTCCAAAGGCTGACGCATATGCTTAATAAGATAGTCCCTACGGAACAAGCCGGATTCCGAACTGGCCGAAATTTCTGCGACCAGGTGCTAGGTTTCGAATGCCAGCTCAAAACAGGAGCAGCATTCATTGAACTCTTCTCAGCATATGATACCGTATGGTGAAAGCGTCTCCTGCTGAAGCTTGCGATGGCCGTGTCTTGCCGCCCGACGATCAGACTCATCCCTGCAATTCTGAGCGACCAATGGTTCACCATCCACCTTGGAGGGGCTGCCAGCAGCCCACGAAGATTGAATAATAGACTCCCGCAGGGATCTGTTCTAGCCCCATTGCTGTTCAATTTCTACACCAGTGACATTCCGGCAACATCCTCCCGTAAGTTCATGTATGCAGATGACATCACACTGGCAACCCAAGCCCGGACAAAAAATGAACACTGGAAAAGTTTTTGAAAAAAATCTCAACAGCTTAGAAGCATACGTCATGAATTGGCGCCGAAAGCAGAACACTTCCAAGAGCGTCGTCTCCATCTTCCACCTGAACAACATGAAAACCACGAAAACATCAAATGTCAACTTCTGTGGAACACCACTAAACACAAGACCACCACCCTCGGTACCTATGAGTTACCCTAGACTGGATGCTAAACTACCGGCACCACCCTGAACAAAGCCAAAATTTTAACAAAAGCATGAGTGAACATTATCCAGAAACTCACGGGAACAAAAGTGGGGAAGCGACGCCTGCACGTTGAAAATATAAACACAGATCTTAGTCCACTCTACAGCGGAGTGCTGTGCTCCAGTGTGGAGTGCCATCGCTCACAATAACCTAGTTAACTTCGAAATTAACACTGCACTTTGTATCATCAGTGGCACCCTGAAGTCCACTCCATTCCCGTGGCCTCTTGTACTGGCGAACATCGCCGCTCCAGCTAACGTCCGACGGGATACTGTGACGATCCGGAAGTACAAAATAGTGGAGAACTTTACTTTACCACTCCACCAAAGAATAAATGAACCCCCACGCCCTAGGCTTAAATCCAGGAAGCCTTTCTGGGTACGCGTCTCTGCTCTGGCAGCTGAAAATAAACACACCGGCACTCGATGGTCTGACGCGTACGCGGCTGCAAATGTGACAAACAATTTTTTTTTTAAGGACCCGACCATGGAAGTTCTGGATTCTCTCACGATCGCTGTGGACCACACTGAACCACGCTCTGATGCAGGTCGGGAGATGTGTGTACACATTGTTCCATATATGGAAAATCAAAGAATCCCCAAACTACTACTATAGTAAAGCCCAACCATGATACACATCACCGACGAGTGTGCCATCCATGTACACCCTGGTGGTAACGCTGCAATCCACACAGTGTCAACTGGTTAAAGAACCATCCAGACATCCACCCTACGTCCTTCCTTGTGGAAGAGATATGTGGATGACACTTTCGTCATTTGGCCACATGGCCTGCCAGCATTGAACCAATTTCTCAACCACATTAATTCCATACACCCATCCATCAAATTCACCATGGAAGTGGAGAAATATGGCAAGCTACCATTCCTGGATGTTTTGTTTGAAAAAAGACCTGATGGCTCTTTGGGACACTCTGTCTACAGGAAAGCCACCCACACAGATTCCTATCTGAAACCTGATTCCCACCACCATCCAGCACAGAAGAATTCCCTTATCAAAACACTACACCATAGGGGCCCACTGCATTTCTGACCAACACCACCTAGCCAGTGAACTGGAACACGTACACCAGGCCCTTAAAATGAATGGATATTCGGACCGCATTATCCGCAAAGCTGTTTCTCCAACCATGGAGAAACAACGCCCTGAGACGCCGATCAAAACCATCACATTATCATACATAGCTGGCGTTACCAAAGATATTTCCAAAATCTTACACAAACACAAGATCCAGGTCCGATTCAGCACAGTACATAAAATCCGTGATCTAATCCCATCTGTGAAGGATGTCATTCCTGACATGCGATACCCTGGAGTCTACAAACTAAGTTGCACCTGTGGTGATTGTTACATTGGGGAAACAAAACGACATGTCTCGGACCGTGTTCATGAGCACAAGGCCGATCTGAAACACGGCAGAACTAATACCTCTGCCGTGACTGACCATTGTTATAACGCTGTGGGCTCTCATGATATTGTTTTTTTTTTAGACCAAGGTGCTCTGCAAACCTTCGGACTACTATCAAAGTTTTGTTCATGAAGCCATCCAGTTATTTAAGCGTAGACATAACTTCACCCGGGAAGATGGATACAGATTGAGCAATCATTGGAAGGATGTTATTAACCAGGTAAAACCATAACTGCTTTTGGCCTGCCTTCATATCTGCATCTCCAGCTTCCTAACCCTCCCACTCCCAGCCCCGCCCACTTCCCCTCCCCACCCTGGCATTTTTTTGCCGTGCTTGTGTCTTAGCTTGTAGCCTCCACTCCCCCTACCCCTTCTCGCTGACTCCTCCCCCTGCTCTTGCCTATATGGCCTCTTGTTGCAGCAGCCCTTTTGCCCACTTCAGCAATTGTTTATTGCTGTGGTTGTCCCACCTGATGACGGACGCTTGTGTTGCGCCCAAAACTTCGTGATTTAATTTATTTTATTTTATACCTACGTGACTTTACCGAAAGAACCAAAGAGTATGGATCCCTGCAGTCACGAAAACTTCAAATCTATATTGGTTAAAGAACCTTAACATCAACTCTCACATCATCAATATAATCTATACAACATCTACTGCCGCCTTGGATTGGTTAAAGGACCTTAACAGTCAACTATGACATCTATACAAACTGTTGCTTACATGCCATACGAAAGAAGAAGTGTGCCACTGCATTGCATGCTTTCAAATGCACTTGTGCGGCAGTCTGGTATGCTCTTCCTTCTGATATTAGGAAGCATCCGGTAGCTATGCACTTTTATATCATCTAGATTGAAACGCATTTCTTTATAACTGCTTTTTGTGGTTAGTTTGTTGTCCTTCCCTTGCACCTCTGATGAGCACCGTGGCTACTTGGAGTGCGAAAGAGGTTCAACATACATGTGTACATTACACGTGGCAATGACTGGTAGTAACGGTGTTAACATCGGCCTCTGTTGAGGCTGATTAGGGACTCTACTGGGTAGTTGGAGGCAGTCGTCCTCCAGCAGCAATGGAGGTCAGAAGGACGACGCTCACAACAACGATTGGAACACCGGGCGGATAAAACGTAGCAAGTTGGCACAATGGGGATTGCAGATGTGCATCTGCCAGTCACCTCAGTCACCTCAGTCAGTTAACGCATGGCACCTGGGCCTGTCCCATGACCTTCTGCCAGTGAGCCTTCGACACTTCACCAGGCCACAAGCCCCGTGGTGACATCACCACGACTTAGTGGCGAACGGCAGTTGTTCTTGTGTAATCTCTATACAGTGTACAAGATTAGTGCTGGATGCAACTGTATTTACAAATATTATTTGTATCTTTCATCCTTACTCATGTGTAGTGAGTCTAACTGAGTCGCAGACATTGTCTTGGGAGCAACACTATTTAGCAACTTCAACATAACATAACACAATCTACACTCGAGTATCGAATTCCCATCTAACCACGCTACGGCAGAACTAGACACGGTTCGCTATCCCGGCCTAGACCACAAGCTGGGTCCCGGACCGCGTTGCTAGAGGCTTCTTTTCCCCGACGTGGATCTTCTTCACACCAGCACACGAAGAACCCCGAGCCCCTCACAGGGCCCCCATTATATCCCCCTGGGCTGGGGCTGGCTCCGCCCTTCGCCCCGCCCACCTTCTAGATCTCTCGAGCTCTTTCTCGAAGGCTCCCGAGAGCTCTTTTAGACCACGTGACCGCCCAGCGGTCCCCGTCCAATGGTGGCACCCCTCCAATATCATCCAGTCACGTGTCAGCAGGTCAACCGGCGTATCATGCCCCAACGTAACCCTGGCTGGCTGACGCTCCCTCTCGCTCCCTCACCGGGAGCCCGCACCGCACACTGCTCGCGGTGCCTCCGCGCTGACCAGCGCTCACCCAAGCCCCGCTAGGGCTGGTACTACGCCCCGCAAGCGGGCTACACATGTCAACACATTATCCTCCATGGCTTCGTAAGCCCGGCACCACACAGTGACAATCACAGTCACTACACATGTATCGATATTATTATTATTATTGAGGGATTGTGCGTTGTCGTGATGTGGTATGGGACTGTTCTTGCTGTTGTTTGTGCTGCCTTGCACAAGCTTGGGAATTGTAAGTACGTACGTATGCTGAACTTATTTTGCGCCGTACATAGCCAACTCTGCAAATCGGAGGTGTGGGACTTGGTGTACTTATGCAATTGGAACTTGTATACTTAGAAGTATATCGTTTTATCGATTTGCTTACCTTTCCTATACTTTGCACTCCGATCGTTATTTTTGTATTGTTTGTTGTTGCAACTTTCTGACCCACCCCTACTGGACATCTGTGAAAAAGAGCTTCATCCACACCTCCAATCAGCACAGTTGGCTACGTACGATCAGGATCTTTATTTAGGACTGCAGATTTTTGCAGTCCTAAATAAAGATCCTGATTCTAATAACCAGGGTTAATCGGGTCGGCAGGTCCACACATATCCCTGACCTCTTCGACTGCGTCCTCTCCACGCTGTGCCTGGAGGCTGCGTGCGACTCGGTCGAAGGCTTCGGCGCTGCGCTGGGCCGGATGTGCGGGCGCCTGCGTCCGGGCGGGTAGCTCGTCATGGCCACTGTGTTGCAGGAGACGTTCTACCGCGTCGGCGTCGAGACCTTCGGGGTGCTGCCCGTGGACGAGGGCAACGTGGTAGACGCCGTGAGGGCGGCGGGGTTGACGGTCTGCCGACTGACCAAGCACGGGGCGCCTGATGTCGCTGGAGGGGAGAGGGCCTCTGACTTCAAGGGGTTGCTCTTAATCGTAGCGCAGAAAAAATAACGTCCGTATTTTTTGTGTTTAATTTAGTTTCCCCCCCCCCCCACGCACCTCCGATTAGCATGGGTAGCTTTGTACGGTGCAAAAGAAGTTCAAACTACATCAACTAATTTCATTAGAACTGCATATTGTGTTTAGTTTGCTGTACTACCCTCGCAACTTCGATTAGCACGGTTGGCTACGTACGGTGCGAAAGAAGTTCAACATACATATGTAGAGTAGTCGGGGACATTACTTCACGCTCACCTTCCGGTGTGATGACGTCACAGGATGTGACGTCCTGCACAGGGGGTGGGGCGATGATGTCATGTTTCCCTGGGGTACTTATTCTAGAGCCCGTGACGTGAGCGTAGTCAGTCGCAGGAGCCCGAGAACGTGAAGGGTGGAAGTTAGACCCAGGGGTAGGGCTGATGGAGTAGAGAGGAACCCAGCACCTAGCGATAGGAGTGGCTGCTTTACCCAGTCGGCCGATGTTGGTTTATCCCTCGGCCGGCGCAGTGGGAAGAGCCCAGGAAGCTAGTTGGGCTTGGGAGCCTAGGACCCCTAACCCTGGGAACAAGTGTATTACCACTTAGCCCATTATTGGCGTAAGCCCCTAATAACCCCTGGCGTACACCCCTAATAAAACCCTGGCGTAAGCCCCTAAAAATATCTGCCTCAGAGTCGTCTTTCCACCGCAACACATACATAAACTAATTTCTTTAGAACTGCTTATACTGGTAGGAACCTCCTGGTTACACCAGCCCACAGGGGATTATTGTGTCCATCCGTCCGTCGTGCATCCAAAAATGGGAGGGGTGTGGCTGGGTGGAGAGGGGGGGTGGGGACGGGCTGAGTGGGGAGGGTGGAGAGGGGCTGGGTGGGGCTGGGTGGGGGGTGGGAGGGGTGGGGCTGGGTGGGGAGGGGCTGGTCACCCTTAAACGTTTAACCTACTCACGCCGGCTTGTGCCTGCCCTCACAGTCGGCGATATTTGCGGAATACACCACGCCGCCGTTGACCCTGGCCATTGACCAAGCAACCCAACGTTCCTACCAGCTCCCTCCGCAGGAATGTGTTTAGTTCGTTGTCCTCGCATTGTAAATGTTGTGGCTTGGCTCCCGAACACACCAGTGTGCTATACTAGTGACTTGCTTGGCATGTTCTGTTTACATGACAACCCTTACTAGTTGGCTGTGTTGAGTGGTGGCTGGTTTTAATGACACATTTATATATGTATGCCTTCTAACCCAAAAAAATCTCTGTTATGTTTGTTGTCCTTCCCCCCGCACCTCTGATTAGTACAGTTGGCTACGTGCAGTGTGAAAGAAGTTCAGTATACATACTGCATGTCAGTCATTGCGCATCTCCTTCATATGGCTCATGTTCATGTAGAGCAACAAGTATGATTTTACATCGGGGTGGTTAATTAACCAGACAATTGCGTCCGGAGTAGCGGAATGTGTCGCTGCGATGCTTCCTTATACATTTGCGAATCGGATCATCGAGTTCCTTGGTCTATCCTGGGTTACCACAGTCGCACACTACAGAGTTACACCATATTTCTGTTTGCACACATTCACCATGGTTTTGTGAACTCCATTCGGCTTTGCAAACAACGTCATCAGGGTTGAAGTTGCATTGTTGAAGGTTGTACGCGTGCATGGGTCCAAAAAGGGGGTTTGCGTGACTTCGAGTGGAATCAGAATCTTTACTTTGGACTGCAGGAGCAATTCCCATGAGCTATGAAACTCTTATTTCACAGGTGTCCAGTATAGGGCAGGGGCTCGGAAAGTTACAACAACAATACAATACAAGCGGTGATGAGGGACGTGATTGAGATCCTAGTGGATGGGGGAGATGTCGGTTTTGTCAGCACACGAGTGAGGACGGGGCTTCATCTCATGTACATGCGTAGTGACACCCGATAGAGTAGCGTCCTCTGGTCTAACACCGTTTGAGATGAAGCTCAAGAGAAAGCTGTCTCTGGTGTGGACCAATCAGTTTCAAGGACAATGCATATATTATCAGAGTATGTTTTTTTTTCATTCCGACCACAAGCATTGTGGTTAATGTAGACATGATTCCTTGTGAAAGGGCTAAGTTTGGTGTTGTCAACATGACTGCTGCTTCTGCTGACTCGCTGTCAGCCAAATGCAAAGCTAATCTGATCTCTAAATTCAACCTCCTATCAAAGAAGAAACCAGAGCCACACATCACAAAGCTGGATGTCAACAAGACCGTTATTAATCAGAGTAACATCCCAATTTCTGACAATTTGAAAACGGTACTGGCCAAAGGACTAAATTTCGCTGTCACCCCTAAACATATACCAGTAGAGGATGTGATTTCTCAGGTTGATGTAGCCCTCAGAGGCATATGACACATCCATGCGGATATAGCAAGAGCTGAAATAGCCACTATCCTTAAGAGCGCTAAGAAACCCATTAGCAACATTAGCAAAAACGAACGCTCTGAACTCGCGAACCTAAAAAAGAGAGATATAGTCATCCTCTCGGCCGACAAGGGCAATGCTACGGTCATCGTGGATAAAGGCTCATATAACAACACAATCCTGGATCTACTCAATGATGGGAGTTACTCCAAAATTAAAAGCGATCCTACTAACAGCCTAACGACAAAATCATCACGAGTTCGACTTCCCTAATCGAACCAACCAAACGTCCCTTCCTAAAATCCTCGGCTGCTAGACCTCCCAGATTCTATGGTCTTCCCAAGATCCATAGAGAAGGCACCCCACTATGGCCCATCGTGTCCATGATCAACTCTCCTACCTACAAACTAGCCCGTTTTCTATCAGATACTCTGCTTCCCTTCACTGGCAAGACTTCTTCAGCAGTACTTAACTCAACCCAATTGGTCTCTATGGTCAAGGACATGACACTATCTCCTGACGATATCCTCGTTAGTTTTGATGTGATATCTCTGTTTACCAAAGTCCCAGTACCTGACACCCTAACAATAATTGAAGACTTGGTCCAACATGGATTGAATTCGGATGTACCTGTACTGGTTAGGCATTGCCTCACCAACACTTATTTTACCTGGAATGGCACCTTCTACAAACAGAATGAAGGTACCCCTATGGGCTCCCCCTTGTCACCAGTGATAGCCAATGTGTTCATGGAAAAGTTTGAATCAGACGCCATCCAGACGTCCACCCTGCGTCCTTCCTTGTGGAAGAGGTATGTGGATGACACTTTCGTCATTTGGCCACATGGCCTCCCAGCATTGAACCACTTCCTGTACCACATAAATTCCAGACACCCATCCATCAGATCCACCATGGAAGTGGAGAAAGATGGCAAACTACCATACTTAGATATTCTGTTTGAGAGGAGACCTGATGGATCCTTGGGACATTCTGTCTACAGGAAAGCCACCCACACAGATTCCTACTTGAAACCTGATTCCCACCAGCACCCGTCTCAAAAGAATTATCTCATCAAAACACTATACCACAGAGCTCATGGCATTTCTGACCAACACCACCTGGCCAGTGAATTAAGACATGTACATCGGGCCCTCAGGATGAACGGATACTCTGACCGCACCATCCGCCAAGCAGTTTCTCCCACCATACAGAAACAGCCACTTGAAACTCCGATCAAAACTATCACGTTGCCATACATAGCAGGCGTGACCAAAAAGATCTCCAAAATTCTAAACGAACATAAGATCCAAGTCCGATTCAGTACAGTACATAAAATACGTGATTTAATTCCATCTGTGAAGGATGTTATTCCTGACTTGCAATACCCTGGAGTCTATAAACTGAGTTGCAGCTGTGGTGATTGTTACATTGGGGAAACGAAACGTCATATCTCTGATCGTGTCCGCGAGCACAAGTCAGATCTGAAACACGGCAAAATTGAGTCTTCTGCCGTTGCCGATCATTGCTACAACGCTGTCGGTTCCCATGAGATTGTCTTTTCCGAGACCAAGGTGCTCTGCAATCCTTCTGGCTACCATCAAAGGTTTGTACACGAAGCCATCCAGATATACAAAACAGACATAACTTCAACCGTGATGATGGGTACAAACTGAGTAATCATTGGAAAGATGTTATTAACCATGTGTAGAGGTGTAATTGCGCATGGTTACGAATGTTGAGGTGTGATTATGCATGGCCACGGATGGCCAACAAACACAAGGGGCGGGGTTACGGCCGTACACAAGGGTGGCGCTCGCACCGACGTCCGAATGTGCGTCCCCCACGGGCCCCCCCTCGGGGGGAGTCCTATAAAAGGTGATGAGCTCGAGGGCTCGAGGTGGGGACTCAGCTTTAACCAGAGAAGACAGAAGACCTGCTAGTGTAGGCCCCAGAGCTCCCCTGGCTCGCTGTCCTTATAAGGGCCGACCAGGGCAAGCCGGTGGCGTGGCCCCGAGAGCCCAGACGAAGCTGGTCTGGTGACTCAGGGAGCCGGGATCCCAGCTTAACCAAGCTGGGACAGATAGCCTCCCCTAGTCCCGTAGTGGAGGAATTGGTATAGGTTAGAGGGGTTAGCTGTCGAGAAATCCCTGTAGCCCAGTGACCTGTAATAACTGTGTTGGTGTAATAAATAAGTGTGCCTCCGATCCTGTCGTCAAGCCTCCATATACTTACTACATCTGGTGTCAGAAGTAAAACGTCCAAACGATGGACACACGAGGGACGACACGTACCAAGGAGTCGGAGATGGAAGACGCCGCGGCCGAATCAACACCAGAGATGGCCGGGGTCGGATCGGAGCAGCCGGGGCCGAGTACGCCCGCGCCGCTACGACAAGAGGGGGGGGATGCGTCGGCTGAAGGACTCCGGCTGGCCCACTCCCGCCTGGCGGAACTGCTCTACGCCGCGGCCGCCGCGTTGGAGGAGATCACGCGGCTGGGGGCTGGAGGGGCAGCGCGGGTCGACGACAGCAGCCGGCGCGCGGCGACGTTTCCCGCCACCCCGACGCGGCTCGCGGTTAAATTTCCCGCCATCTCTACAGTGCGAGCGGACGGCGGGGCCGGCCCGCGTCACGTGACTGCTGAGCGCCAAGCACAAGCCGTGACATCATCAACACCGGCCGGCGCGTCAACATCGGAGCGACCGGCGATGCCATGCGCACAGCCCGCCCACACTGTATCATCGGCGGGGAGCGACGGAGAGCGATCTGCAGCCACGGACGTCGCCTTGCAGCAGCGTCTGCCGCCTCTGAAAGAATTCGTAGGCGCAGACGGAGACTGGGGCGGCTTCAAGAGGCGGTTCATCGCTCATCAAGAGATGGCGAACTGGACGGACGCCGAGGCTCTACGCGCGCTGCCGGCGATGCTGGACAACGACGCTCTGGCTACCCTCACCTCGGCGCCTAGGGAAAAGCGCGCCA